AAGGTTCTTCGACCCTAGCAAGCTAGTCCATGATCCTCACAGCATCAGTGCAGGCGGAGTACGATGTGGGTTGAAGCAATTTCTGATGTGCGAGTACGTTCCGATGTAGGATTCGCGGTTTACCTACTTCCATTCGGTATCGCGGAATGCTGCCACACCACCTTCAACCTCTATCCTCCATCACATTCCTTGCACCACCATCCTGAGCATGGAAAACGCTCGTCTAAGCTAGGCACTATAACGAGATGCCTTTGTTAAGTCGAAAATGTGCAAACGCTGCTGCAAATCGAAGGTGGGCCTGCGGTAGCATCTCATGAAATCTCACCGTGCAGACATTACGGAAGCCACAGGGTATGATGATGTTGACACTTTGAGGGGTAGACGAAACCAACTGGGCAATCAAAGAGCGCATTGTTAAAGCTTTACTTGACTAGGAAGTCACCCTGGGAAAGTCCAAATGCAAAGAGCAAGAGTTTATCTCAGCTAACTGACAGCCACGGTTGAGGGAAGGGAGGGATAATAATATGAGGCAAAACAGGTCAACTGCAAGGCCGTTTTGTGACGAAGTGTCACGGAGAGATTAAAGCTGTTAAGGAGAGGGACGTTCGAATTCGCAGCGTCTAGCTGAAAAAGAGGTACGTCCATTTTCCAAAGTAATAGCTACAATGAGTTCATCCCCAAAGTATCCATCAGCACAGTCGCGGAGAAGGACACCAGCATGGTGATTCTAAGGAATATCGAAACAAGCAATATTTGTGTTTTGGCACCCCACCGAGTTCCTTTACTGTGTTTTGCCGCGGCTTGCCCGAGCGCGCGAAGTATCAAATTTGATCGAAACAAGCAATAGTGTACTTTTGAGTCGAATAAAACTTCCACACCACCAACCCTAGATAAAATCTATACAAAGCAGAAGTGGCCGATCCAGAATCCAGATCCAGCCCATACCCTGGGAATACGCAAAGAGATACCATGACGCCATCGCTATGCACCAAAACAAACTACTCACAAATTTATGACACACACATCAACACGTGATTCTACTACGAGCGGAACCTACACCTCTTTCCAGGACCCTTCTACCGGTTTTCTAGATACACCACCAGAATACGGGTCCTGCGTCTGAGCAGGCGTATAAGCTCGGTAGGGCGTGTATGCGGGCTGCGACGCCTCCGTGGACCCGTAGGTCTGTTGTCCGGGATACGCAGGTGCGGGGGAGCCCGATGGGGCTGGGGGCTCGAATCTCGTTGAGCCAGACGGAGCGTACACTGGGGATGGATTTCTTCCTGGGGCAAGGGCAGCCGGGACTCCGTTGTTGTACATGCCGTTGCCGGGCGTTATGGGAGAGACCTCCCTGGGGCTGTACTGGGTGTTGTTATTGTTGTAGCCATAGTTGTTGGTGTTCAGTGGAGGCGGCGTTCGTGTTGTGATTTGTTGACCATACTGCTGTGATTGCTGCTGGTCGTACTGTCCATATTGATCGTAGCCTGGACCTGGCGAGCGCCGAGGTGATTCATTGTATCCTGGGCCCGGTGATCGCCGGTCATATTGTTGGTTCTGCGCGTAGCCGGCCCCGGTTCCATATGGAGGAGCAGAAGACAGCAACTGGTTTACAGGCGACGCACCGCGGTAACCATCGGCCTGCTGGCTATAAGCACTGCTGTAACCGCTGGGCGCGTTCGAGGGACTACGACGCGGTGCATTGTTCGCATAGGCACCATCCTGATAACCTTGAGGGTACCCGTACCCCTCTTCTGCTTGGATGCGCTGCACTGGAGATCTTGCAGGACCGGGAGACCTTCGTGCCGCCCCGCCAGCTGCTACCGCCGCCATTGAGGTCCCAGCAACGCTTCCGTTTTGATCCAACCTGTCCATTTCCACGTCATCCCGCTTTTCAGGAATGTATTCCTCCTCGACATGCGTGGTCCTTGCGTCTCTCCAGCTCGGCATCGCAGGCAGGGCATCTTCGTTGGCTGGTGGCGCATGTGCATCGAATCTCGCAAATTGAGGCGCGTCAGGCTTGGGTGCTGTGTTGTACGAAGACACAGAGGGTGCTGGCGCGGGGTTGAATGTAGGCGCTGGCGCTGGGTTGAAGGTGGGAGCGGCATGCGATCGATACTGCTGGTTCGGCGGCCGCGTATCCATGGGAACAGGAACGGGGGCGGGCGGTAGACCTCCCGAGTAGGCCGAGGCATCGTACGGACGAGGCGGAGGTGTCTTGACACGCTTGTGGCCTGATCTCCCCCCCGAAGGACAGCAGCAAGAGCAGCATTTGAAGCAGCAGCATGCCAGTTCCGCGCCACAGCAAACGCATCGCGCTATGCACAGCACCACAGAGAGAACGATGATGCCCCCTACAATGATAGCGACAATCACGGGCCACCTGTTGAATGTTAGCCACCGAGCCGAAAGGGACCAGGCTTTGCGCTGGTTACTGACTTGCAGTAGTTTTTGGCCATGCACTTGTCCCATGATGAGAGAGTGTCTTTGGCATCGTCTAACGGATTGCGCGCCGCCAGCAGCGAGCGCATCACAAGTGTTGAAGCCATGAGGTGTAAAGACAAGTCCGAAGAGAGAATTCAAAAGAACGCGCAAGCGGAGGGATCCGAGGGGGTTAGCAAGTCGCTGGGGTGGCAGGGCGCGACGAGCGAGGCTGTGCCTAACGGGTGCTCAGTCAAGCGGCACGACGCGCGGTTCAGCGATGGGTTGGAATGGAACGCAGAGAAGAAGCGAGATGCTTGCCATGCGCATCTCGGCGTGCGTGAAGGAGCGCAGAACGAGCGGGAAAGAGATGCACAGTCGTCAAATGAACATGTGCTCTTAACGTTGCGCATCTGGTTCAATCTAGGTCAAACGCCCGTTTCATGCAGGGAGGGATGCGGTACGCACGCTTGTGGCTGTGCTTTGCAGATCTGGGGCAAGTCGTGCCTACGCGTGCGATTCCTCGCCAGGGCGGACATCACCACTCTATTGATGGCTATCTGGCCTCAGTTCTCGGACAAGCAGCTTCTTTGGCTCGTTGATGATGCTTTGTCACGCAGCTGTCGCGCACCATGTTTGTGGGTGATGACTGAGTAATCTGCGGCGTTTCATCACACGTGCGGCGCACACTGGACCCCACATCCTTCTTAATGCACATGTACATATTTATGGACTTGTACAAACGAACCGTCGTTTGTGCAAAGGCCAATTAGATCGACATCACTTTCATACATCAAGAGTGTGAATAATGTATGTCACTCTATGGGAACGCTTCTGTATGTAACGTAACCCGTCCTGAAATACCATTGAAAATTCTCACGGCATGCACCATTCACTGGCACTCTTTCGACAACTTGGGAATCCATAGTAACATCGTAGCCTCGTGCGGATTTCATTTCAACTCAGCCTCTACGACCCACCCTCCTTTCTCTGACCCGTGAAGAAGGCCAATCCATAGTCATCCGTCGTAAAGGTGATTTTGCTTCCATTGGGAAAGAAGAAAACGTCGCCTTCGCTCAATCAGCTATTGTCCCACGACGCTGGCATCGTACGAACTCACCTGGCTTCGCATTGACCTTCTTGCCCGTTTCGTCTGAGATGGTGAACGAGCCCTCGACAATGATTTTCATTTCGTCGTACGTGTAGGTGTATACGAGGGGCGTGCCTTTCTCAAGTCGGTAAAACCCAGCTGACATGGGCTTGTCAGGGTTGATCTTATCGCTGCCTGGGTATCAGTCCGGTGAAAGGGTGGATGCAGAATGTGAGGGCGGACCTGGAGAAGACATCGCCTAGGTATGCATTCTCATTCGCGATGAGCGGGGGCTTGAACTCTTTTTGTGCGTTGGGGTAGTGTTGCATGCCCGGCGAAGACATGATGTTATATCGTAAGCTTGCTTGTCTGATTCAGTTTTACGTGTCGAATGTCTGTTAGATTAATCTCCGAGTAATGAGGTGAAGTGCGTGTAGTCACTCGATCGTATGTAAGTGCCGTCCGGGAGACCTTTTATACCTCAGATACGATGTCTGCCGCGGGTATTACAATCAGCTTTGGCTTATTCACACCCAAACCAGCGGCTCCGCACACGGCCACTCTAGACGACTGGACCTATTCGGAGCGATATACTCCACATTTTGGTACCTAGCTGGATGCGGAAGTTACCAGGGCAATTGAGTGGTTCACAAGCCTGCGCATTGCAGCAACCTACTACTTGCTAGGACGACAGAAGAGGTATGCGGAGCGCATCGCGTGCATGTGGTTGATGGTGGAGAAGCGGAGGGAGCGATGTCATTTGGCAGGACTGTTTTACCGCATTGGGCTGGCGGGAATTGCAATTCGGTATGGCGGCTCTCACGAGAAGGTGAACACCAGCAATACAGTATTAGGTTGAGGTTATAAACTTGGATAGTAGCCTAAAGTTACTCTAGGATTAACTATTCTATATCTAACTAGCAAAGGCCTTAGCTTACATCCAGTCTTTATGTTCCCATGAAAGGGCGGGTAGCGGATGTGAGCATTTGCGAGTACGGTGCACCGTGTTTCTGGGCCTTGCGATAAGGGGCCAGCCTGTGCGGGGAACTCTCGTTGCTGTTGTCATAACGTTCATAGCAACGTCTGCTGTCGCGCCGCCGCAAAAGCAATTGTCAGAGAGGTCCTTCGACACGTTATACACCTGTCGTAGTATGGGTGTTTCATCGTCTCATACCAATCGAAATTGATGAATATCTCTTGTCACAGCTCTGCTTTCGGGGGGTCTAAGGTTTTTCAGTCATGTGGCTCGCGCTACACCAAGGTCGACCTAGTATTCACGTCACATGACTGAGAAATCTCAGACACCGCAAAGGTAGCAGGCATCGATGATTAAAATTTACCATGGGCGTTAGTCGGGTATGTGGAGCGAGCACAATCTCTGCTTGCAAATCTTTTGTGCTGAGAGCACCAAAGGTAGGTGTGTACCGATTGGGGCTTGCTGTCACAAGTTTTATATACCGACTATTGCCGCCATGCATCACAACAAGACAACGGCCGTGTGGCCCAATGGCAAGGCGCTTGACTACGATTCGCATCTGCTATCAAGAGATTCCAGGTTCGACCCCTGGCACGGTCAATTACACATTCTTTTTGTCGGTTTCGACAGCGTGGGAATACCTTTTGTGCCGCAGTTTGTGCCGCAGTGCAGATGTGTTTGGGTATTTTCCTATTCGTAATTGACCAGGCATGTTAGCGAGAAATTTGGTTGTGTACGTGCAATTCTGTGGACTGAGAGGTTGTCTCTACCATTACTTTTACGTCGGCGCCCACGATGTTGTTCATGTGCTTCAAGCACGGCAAATCTGGCTGGTGGCATTCTGAGGATACTCGACTTGGTGGATTCGACGTCCAGATCACCCGTGGTTCGATCATATTTGGAGCCTCGAGCGACGATACAAAGTTTGGTACTCTGTCTCGAACAGAGGTCAGCCGCTGCTTCACAGGGTGCATAGCTTTCTGAGGTTGGTGTATACGAATTGGACCGCTAATCTCCCAGATATTCTACAAACAGCTTCAAAGGTCGAATCCTTCGCACGTGCATGTGCATGCGACATGGAGGTCGTAAGCTGGTGAAACGCTGATATCGCCGTATAGCATCATCTAGAGCCGCCGTCGTATGCTGTAGAGCTAACACTCGGAGCACTGATGGCCGAACAAACATCCCCGGATCGTGAATTACTCAGTCGCGGAACTTCCTGTTCTGGTTCTCTCCAAACAGCGTGACCCTGATGCTGGGCAATGCATCGGTCTCGAGGATCTTGAGTCGCTCGTCGAAAGTGTTGTTGATGTCGATCTTTCCGCCGGTACCGGCAATGATGACGCCGCCGGACCTGTTCTGTCAGCGCTATACATTTTTGTGGATTGTTTCACTCACGATCCCTCTGGCAACGGATCGCTCTCGTTGATGGTAACGGTAACGTCCTTGTTCACCTTCTTCTTGTACTCTGTCTGAGCGTCCTCGATGGCCTTCTTCACGACGTCATAGTCGGCCTTCCTTGCCTGGACCTGGAGCTTGTCTTCGTTGAGCGCATAGGCACCCTCTAGTATCAGGTTCTTGAGTACGCCCTGGTATTTGCCCTTGTTCTTGGACACATCGGACAGCTTCGTGCCGGCCTCCTCGAACAGCCTGTCAAGCAGCTCTTGGCGGGCGGACAGGATCCTTATTCGCGACTTGTTGGAGACGGTGGAGCGGGTGATCTGCTGCGACATGCTGGCCTGCTTGAACTTCTTCTCGTAGGACGAGTCGATGGCGGCGGTTTCTTGACGGACAAGCTTGGATTTCTCGATTGCGAACTCCTCGTCGGCCTTGAGGCGGATCTCGTTGGCCTTCTCCATGGCCTCCTGCTTGATGAAGGCCGTCATCTTCTTCAGCTCGCCGGCGACCTGCCGCAGTGACGCATTAGCAGCTGTTGACGTATGGCGGGGAGCTCTGCAGCAGGCCCTCGCCGATGGGACAGCCTACCTGGTCGTCGGAGAGGGCGTGTATTTGCGACATGGCGGCGGCGCGGGGGAGTGTTGGCGGGAGTGATCGGGAGGGTGCTGCAGTGGTGGGTGCAGGTATGGAGTTGGTCGCTGGTGGTGGTGGAGCTGGAGGAGCTTGGGCTTGGGATCTGGGATGCGAGCCTGTGAGGTCAAGTCAAGCCACACCTCGAAGGCGCCCGCGATTACGCCGGCGTGAGCCTGGAACTAGCAAGGTGCCATCAGCAACGGACCAGCACCTCAAACACTGGATACCTACACCGACTCTTGGAACAGCTGTCTTCAGCGCTGCATTGCGCCCGTCGTCCTCTGCGCACCGCCTGCACCGCGCCCGCCTTCGAGCCAGCCGACATCATCATCACGCCGCGCATCCCTGCCGCCGCGCCTCGACCGCCCACTCCTCGGTCTCGTGGCCTGCCGCCGATTACCACGGTGACGCACACGGAAACACCGCTGCGTTGAACGCATACCTCGCACCCACGACCCCGTATACGCCTTGGAGCACAGCATGTCTTTGCGCTCAAGGTAGCAGCCACGTAGTGCGACCACAGCCTCTGCGAACGACATGGTGGAGCTCTCCGCGGGCGCCAGCATTGCTGTGAGCTGCCCCGAACGCGCAGCCGACTACAGTACAGACATCTGACAGCAATGCACAGGTCGGAGTCATCGTTGGCCTCGCATCCACCTGCATCCAGAGCATCGGCCTGACCCTGCAGCGCAAGTCGCATCTGCTCGAGGAAGAGAAGGACGACGACTATGAGCGGCGACCGCCTTACAAGCGTCGGAGGTGGCAGGTTAGAACCGCGTTCCGTCTGGAGGATGAGAACGGTGCTGACTTGTACAGCTGGGCATGTTGATGTTTGTCGTGGCCAACATCGTGGGGAGCACCATTCAGATCACCACCCTACCACTCCCCGTACTATCCACATTGCAAGCCGTATGTTCCCTGCCGCATGTGAACATTCCCTTCGAACTAACACGCTCAGTCCGGCCTTGTCTTCAACTCGATATGCGCCTCGGTCGTTTTGAGCGAGCCCTTCACGCGCCACTCCCTGGCCGGCACCCTACTCGTTGCAGGAGGAGCTCTGCTTATCGGCATATTCGGAGCCATCAGCGAACCCTCCCATAACCTCGACCAGCTCCTGCGACTGCTAGGACGCATGCAATTTCTGCTGTGGATGTTTGGAACCCTTGTCATCGTATTAGCCTTGATTATCGCCAATTGGTTCCTAAAACGCATATACCCCCGACCGACACCACGCGTGAGGCTGGTCCGAGGCATCTTCTTCGGCTGTGTCAGCGGCATTCTTTCCGCTCATTCCCTTTTAATCGCCAAGAGCGCGGTTGAGCTCCTGGTCCGAACCATCATCGACCGCCATAACCAGTTCAACCGCTGGGAGTCCTGGATGATCCTAATTGGCCTCGTCACTTTTGCCTTGACCCAGCTATACTATATGCACCGCGGGCTGAAGCTTTGCAGCACAAGCGTCCTATATCCCCTCATTTTCTGCGTCTACAATGTCATCGCCATCATAGACGGTTTGATATACTTCCATCAATCAGCCAGATTGCCCAATCTACACGCAGGCCTACTGGCCCTTGGAACAGCCATCCTCTTAGCTGGAGTTGTATGCTTGAGTTGGCGCCTGGAAGAGGGTGATGAGGAGCCTTTATCCCCCGTGGTAACACGGCACAAAGGCCACGTGCCTATGCCACAGACCGCCCTCACGCCCGGCATCGGTCTCGTCCACGGTATTCTCGAAGACGAGCCCACGTCTCCAGATATAGAAGAGCAACAGCCCGGTCTCCACGGCGCCATCGCCGACCAGCGAAAGCGCCAAAGCATCGACGAGCGAACCCCCCTCCTCGCCCGCGCACCTACCGGCCCCGCAGTCACCGTCGCCCACCGGCCAGACAAGCGGCCATCGATACACTCGAAACAATCACCCAGCCCCAGTGCAAGCCCTTCCACCCGCAGACCTGCACGCAGACGAAGAATGACCGTCTCAGAGGAGACGAACGAGATCTGGAACGAGCTCAACGACAGAGACACGCCGCCCTCCCCAATCAGACGCTCGGTAGACCTGGGGGGAAGACCGCGCTCCGGCACACTCCCCGCGCGCCGCAAGAACACCTCAGGGACCTGGCTGGACCAGATGCGGCGGCGTTCGTGGTTCGACGGCGCAGGGTTAGGCATATCCCGTGATCGCAGCGTCTCGCAGGGGAAAAGATCTGTGGATAGTGAGGCGTTGCTGCTGGACCATCCGGATCCGGAGGACGAAACCCACTCTGATACCGATGCGCCGCCGAGTCCCGACGTGAGGAGACGCGGAACGTGGGGTTTTTGGGAGGAGCGGAATCAAGAGGGGCTGGGGGATTGGTTGAAGCTGAAGTGGTGGCGGAAGAAGTGGAGGGATGAGGAGGAGGAGGAGGAGGAGGAGACGGAACATGAGAGAGTATAAGATACCACTACGTTAGCATTTCTATGTCTGATAGAGCTATGACCTGAGAGGATTGACTGTGATGAATTGAATCACTACACGCAACGTGGGCCGCAGCGAGTATACAAGTGCTCAAAAGGAGGCTCGTAACGAGGAATTGCGTGAGAAGAAGGCTTGCATTAGCACGAGTGTGGCAGAGCTGTCGAACGTGACTATCGCAGTGCCGACTTTGAATTACAAGACATTAACATCAATCATGAACCCGCTTGATGATATACTTCCAGCGCCTATCGCTAAATGTCAACAACCGCTCCGGGGCTCAACGTCAGGTTCTGCGAGACGGAGCAGCCTCGCTACAGCTGGACGTCCTGAAAGCCGGCCTGATCATCGTCGTCTTCGGCCGTGGGTGGCGGAGGCTTCTCTCTCGAGGGCAGACCTGCCTCGACTGCTTTCTCGTTGCTACTCGCGTGCTCGTCGTCCTCGCTGTCGTCTTCTGGATCGTCTGCGGTGGGCTTGAGATCTTCTGTTCTCACTTTTTGCTCATCTGTTGCCACTTTCGGTTCTGGCGACGCTGACGGCGAGGGCGAAACTTCACGCTTCTCCTCATCGTCCTTTGGCGGAGGTGGAGGAGGTGCTGCGTTGTCGTTGTCGGGCTCGTGCCTGGCTCTCTCGGGCGTCGGCGGTGTAATCTCAGTCCTCGGGCTGGTGACTGAGCTGGGTCCTTGTTGTTGTTGTTGTTGTTGTTGTTGCTGTTGTTGTTGCGACGAGTGTGATTGACTTGCCCCTCCGCCCACTGATCGTAATCGCGGATCCGCGTTCAGGTAGTAGCCTCGCACGCCCACGATTCGGCCATCCCGCTTGCAACCCTTCACCCAATCTGGCACCACGACCGGGATGTTATTCTCCACAGCCTTCTCCCATGCGGGGCCCCTTCCTTCTGTGCACACAAAATGCGTGGTATCGATCCTCACGGTGTCCACGAGTTTAGCACCGATTTCCTCAACGTCCCTTTGCAAAGACTCGCGAAGCGCAGCGGGCATGTGGCCAGGGGTGATGGTGATGCCCGACAGATCGGTCATCTTGTGCGTCTGCACCTTCAGCTTGTCGCTGCTGAATGTGCCCGCGCTGGTTCTCAGCACCAAGTGGAAGACGTATT